GTCGTTTTAAAAAAAGCAAAACAAAAAACTAGAAAGATTTTAAATTATTTATCAACTAGGTGGCCAGAGAAGGAGAAAATATCGCTAAAAATAAAAAATACGTTTTATTCGTTTTCCAGAACAGCGTCTATTCTACACACCCGGCTTAGACTAGAAGCGTGTGCTTTAAATAAGTATTTGCTTCGTATCAATTGTTCGCCTTCTCCGAAATGTGTTTGTGGCATATATTATGGCATATATTATAGGCATATTATTATTATTAAACGTGGCCCAGGTGAAAAAGCTTGAGCTAAGCTAGTACCAGGATGGATGACCTGAAACTAATACTGGCTATAACAACTTTTAAGCTAAAACATTTTGCAAGATTTTTTCCACAACTTTCAGTCGATTACAATTATCGTCGTTTTAGTTGAGAAATCGTCGAAAATTTAAAAAACTGCTGGGCATGTATATGATCGTGGACAATCTAAGTCTAAACTCGTAAGTGATATTTTGATATATTTTGTTAGGCTTTTTACCGATCTTCATTCAAAAATATTTTGTATAACGAAGATTTGAATGTTTTAAAAGAACATCATTTCATTGTTCTGTCCGTACTTTAAGTTGTGTGGACCGTAAATTGACAAATCATAACGCGTTGCCATATGCTAAAATATGTTTTACGAATCAAAAACGTTGGTGAAGGTTTGGTTTTATCGTGCATCCATGGGCTAGGTGAATGCATTTAGCAAATGGTCACTCACGCCCCGTCCACACTATGCCGGATAAATTTGAATCCGAATTTTCGGGCCGCGCGAGGGGAGCGCCATACTTAAGAAAAAATGGTAAACCATCGAGTTGATTTTTCATGGCTTGGCTGACGTCACTTCCGTCCGTCCGTCCGTCCGTCCGTCCGTCCGTCCGTCCGTCCGTCCGTCCGTCCGTCCGTATATATTTAAACTATATATATAATTCAGGATTTTTCACATTCTAGAGACTAAAGACCGTTCTTCTTAATTGTGCATGTTTTGGCTCCACCATGTACACATAGTGTAAACAAATCTGCCCTTAATTAAAACACATTTCTAAAAATAAAAATAAAAATTTCAAAGCACGAATGTTTAATAAATTTTTAATCACGTACGGGTTGATTCCTCTACTACCTGCTGTCAAACCAGGTTAGCGGGTATGTGCCGCCCTATAGGGTATGGTATTTCGGCTTTTGGGTCTGGGGTAGGGTATCCTTTTTGGACATTTTGTTTGGGATAGGGTCTCATTTTAGTCTGGGATAGGGTTAACGATTTGGTCGTTTTTGTCTGGCGAATAGGCTACGCTTTCTGCCGACACAAAAACAATAAAAATGTTAGTAAATATTGATTGCAATCGATTGCAAAGCCGTATTTTCCGTCTTTTAGTCTGGGATAGGGTGTACAATTCTTAGTTTTAGTTTGGGGTAGGGTATGTAAAATCAAAATTTTAGGTCTGGGATAGGGTCAGGGTTTTGAGGTCCTGGCGGCACACCCCTACCCAAGTTGGGGTGGTAGTACCCCCACCCCCCGTGGAAAATAACTTTTATATTCCCTGATACTATGAACAAACGAAGTAGCCTTTCCTTCTCTGTACGCGTTCAATACCATATAACAATGGATGAAGTAGAACAAACACACA